CTCTCTCTCTCTCTCTCTCTCTCTCTCTCTCTCTCTCTCTCTCTCTCTCTCTCTCTCTCTCTCTCTCTCTCTCTCTGTGCCTGTCTGCATGTCTCTGTTGCGATCTGTTGTTCTGTATCCTTTTGGCTGGTCAGTTGGTAGGTGTGTCCTTCACTCTGCCCACCTGCCTGGTGTCCCTCTTTCTGATCGTTTTTTTTTTTCTCGATTTGTTATCGAAAAACCACCAAAGGCCGCGCAAAGGTATGTTCACGATCTAGGCGAGCCTGCAGGCATGATTTGGCATTCTAGAGATGTGTTCCGTTATCAGGATCAGTGCCAGTCTCCAGGCAGGAGTGGGTAGCGGTACTTATGCGCAACATCCAGGTCCCAGGCGAGCAGGAGCAGGGAAAACTGGTGGCTGTCCTAGATCCAAACAGGAAATGGGAAGAAGAAGTGGGTTGAAGATTGCTGACACTGAAGCAAAACAAAGTGAGGGAGGGGGGCAGGAGAGGGGAGGAGAGGGTGTTGTTGGATTAGTCAGGAATTGTCTTTTTTTTAATATATTTATTATTATTATATCAAAACACAACCCTGGTGTTCTGGCTCCTTCTCCATTCTGGGGAGCATCAGCCCGGTTCCTATTCCCCTGGCAAGTCAGAAAGGAATACAGTAAGTACTCACACATGCTCCTCCCCTTTAAGGTGTGGAGGCCCGAAGGACGGCATTGATTACTTCCCAAAGGAAGGATGTACCACCCTTCACCACTGCCTAAACTAGCTTAAGCTAGTTTGCCGCTGCTTTTAAACACTAGTTTGGTTGCCGAACTTTCCCTATCTTTAGGTACCTGTAGCTTTCCCCCCTGGGACCAAGCCTGCCTGTTCCTCTCAGCATCTTGACCGTCGGATTTTCCTTACTTTGCGGGAACTGCTGGTTTGGCACCTTGCCTTAGACTTGGCTGAAACCCTAAGCCCTGCCGTACTTGATTGCTACACACACTGCTAGAGCCCTCGCTCCTAGTTAACTTTCTCTCTCCCTTTTTGGGTGTTTTACGATTACCTCTGCTAACACCTTGAACCCTGGCGTTCCTAGATCGGAATATGTGCTACATTGTCAAGCCTACAACCCTAGACCCTAGTGCCCTTTTCTTGGTCTTGTAACTCTTGTTGCCAACAATGGTGGGCAGTGCTTGAGCTGGGCAAGACTGTCACTCTGTGGTAGCTTTATTTACTGAATCCTTATACCCTGTTTGTGCCCTTTCTTCTGCTTACCGGAGAACCTCGGGCCTGTCTTCTTTTAGCGCTTTAACTTGGTTAGCGTACTAGCCTGTGTCTTAGACGAGAGCTCGACTCTTTTGATGGTATTTTCTCAGGGGATTCCATACGGATGTTAATGGATTTGGGGTCGCTGGCGAGTGAGTGTGATTCTGCTTGGGGTGCACTTGTGCTTCCTTCCCATGTTAGGGTGAAGACCAGGCTATGATATTGCCTTTGATCCTTGCAATTTTACCCCTTGCCAGGCAGTTGATCTCGAAGTTGCTTTTGTGTTCCTTTGCTTTGATCTCATCCTTTCTCATTCTCTTTCTCACTCTGCGCCACAGTACCCAGAATTGTGTTTCAACTTTCAACCTGCTGTTGGAATAGACCCAAGGCTTCCTGGTTGTGCATTGGCTATTTAATAGTTTATCTATTGTCTCCTGACATCTCTTCTTCCAAATAGTCCATAGGGATGCCTTTGCTCTCGAAGTTCGGGCAATCCATCGGTATGTTGAAGCCTAGCAATAGGAGTGTGGGATTGTTAGTGAATTCTACCGTGGCTGTGACTTATAGGTATGTTGAAGCCTAGCAATAGGAGTG